AGGCCAAAAGCAAGAGTTTATACACTGAATCATTCACCCATAATTATAAGCAACTACACTGCAGCCATCAAATATTCTGACAACGTAAATTCCTACTAAAGTTTATAGCCAAATGGAACCTTTCAAGTAGTGGTTCTAAAACTCATTGGATATTCAAACGTGTAACAGCACCAGGAAATGCATTGAAGATGAAAAGCTTGTACAAAAAAACAAAATAACTTCATCCTCCATTTATTTAGTCACGTGATCTATTTTCTTAGTATCACCGCAGCATGGCCCGGGTCAGGGGCTGGACTAAGCTGCACTGCATGGCCCGCCGTGTAATGTCGCTTCAGCTATTACATGCCCTCACTTGCAGACCATTCAGAGTGGAGTGCACTGTCAGCCAAGCATGTGATTCGCTGTAGAGCACATATTTGATCGACAACACACTCCACTCGGAATTGCCTGGAAGGGAGGGTGTGTAATAGCTGAAGAAAAGTCACAGTTCAAGTGACGTGCTATGGCTTACACAGCCCCAACTCATATATTGCTGTGCTGTATGGAAAAAATGTGGTCAAATGACTTAGAGTAAATTGTGAATAGTTAGCAATACATGGCTTAATTACCTAAAAGGAAGCGTGATTTTTTTTGGGGTGGTGGTGGTGGGGGGGTAATAAAGTCACTTTACCAGACTGACAGCCAGGGAAGTAGTATTTTCAGAAGAATAGGTCTGCATTAGCAGTCTACACACTTTCTCAGCATGTTTTATTTAAAGAAAAACTTAAAGGATGAATTGTTCATCATAAAAGGACAATAAGATTTTTAAAAATTATTATAAAATCCATAAAATCCTTTCCTGGAGGCCATTGAGAAGCACTGGATTCAGAGACAACTGGGTTTTACTGCCGCCTACAGGAGGATTTGTAGTATTGTGATGTGTCAACTGCACTCCTTACAGTGAGTGGACCTTGATAAACGTTCGTGGTGCTTGTAGTGATTGTACGGATGGGGCTGTGTTTTCCAGAATTTAAAAGATGGAGATCACCAGCACACAGTCAAAAACATTGAATTTGTTTGCTTATTTATTGAAGAAACATGTCACAAGCGTCATTTGAAGTTTGTAACATGTTTTTTTAATAAATAAGCAAATTCAATGCTTTTGACTGATTGCTGGTGATCTCAGTCTTCTACGACACAGGAGGATTTGGACATTGGCATACAAAAAAAAACACAGAACAAAAAAAAAAAAAACGGTAACCAGCACAGTATAGCTCCCACTCCCAGCATTCCTCGGTTTGGAAAGAAAAGCAATTCCAGAAGCAAGATCATAGATCCAGTAGAGTAGAACCTGTGCTCTTCAATTAAGTTCAAGATATGGATTTTATAGGTTTTCATTCAAGGACACAGAATTCAGACACAAATGGGATATCCAAAAAGCAGTCCAAATGAGAGGTGGGCAACAACAGAACACCAAGCAACAACAAAACTTGACTGTCTACAGCTTAAAAAACACACCTGAAAGACAATTACAACCAATACTGGCATCAGATGAGGCCTGAACATCCACCAGGTAAAGCATAGAAAACATGTGAACAGAAAACCAGTGGCAACCTTGCAATCTGGGAAACAGTTGCCTAATGCCATAAAGCCTATGGAGCACTCACAGTCCTAGTACTGCACCTTGACAGGTAAAGGTGAAACATGATCATTAAGACAGTACGTTTTGTCTGAGCCATCTAGAAATGTTGGACCAAAGATCCGGTTCCCCTTTATGGGGACCATTAGGGATAACAAAGAAAAAAAAGTCAGTCTTGCTAATGGAAGCAGTGGCTTTCAGATAGGCGTGCACAGCACACACTGTATCCAGACAAGGAAGAAGGGATATCCTAATGCATGGAACTAGACAGGCCTTGCAGAGGTGATGGTGGCAAGGAAAGCAATAATGTGGATAAGAGTGAAAAGGGGAATGTCCCCAGTAGGTTTAAAAAGCAGTTCTTGAGTGCTGACAAAACCTAAATCAGATCTAACAAAATTGTGACTGAATAGATACCCTGAACAAAGTTCGTAAAGAATGGGACGCTAGCGCTCTCTGGGAAAAGATTACAAATTCTGAGATCTGGCCCTTGTCGGTACTAGGGGCCAAATGCAAAAAGGTGAGGTCTTGTGTCCCCGTGTATTTCCTAGGATGAAATCTTCTTTCCTCGCACCAAGCAAAGTATTACTTCCATGTGCAATGGTAGACTTTGCAGGAAGCAGACTTCCTGGCTTTGAACATCATAAGAATCAAAGATACCCCTGCCCCTCAAGATGTGAACTTCAACAATCATGCTATAAAGCCAGCAACCATGAAGCAATATGATAAACTGGTCCTGGAGACAAAAAGGTCCTAACGATCTGGAAGAGCCCATGGAACATCTGTCAGTCTGTCTGTCTAGGTCAGAATGCCATATCCACCTGGGCCAATCCAGAGCTATGAGGATCACAGGAACACCCTTCATCTTAATACTGCGGAATATATGAAGAAATGGACTGAGCCCATAACAACAAATACACCTTTAGAAATATTTAGAAATGACAATCTACAAACACATACTTCTAGATAATTGCTGGCTCTGTATTCTTTGCATACCTTATTTCTCTTTTCTTCCCCAGTCTTCTGACAGTGGCCATGTTTACTAAAGGGCAGATTTCTAGCTCTCCTTTTACTTTCTGGCACATGTGACTAGACATGTGACCATTCACATCATCTCAGGGGAGGAAAATGCCTTTCCCTGAGATTTTATGAGATTACAGAAGAGATTTCCCAGCAATGCTCTGCTGATGACAAGGCAATCCCAGTGTGCATTGCTTTGGCAAACTGAAGTCATTTTACCCTTTTAAAAGCAGGAAGTGAATGCTCTGCAAGTGTAAGGATTGCTAAATCACAGCATTTTACACCTGACACATCTCTGTTATTAGTAATCATCATACACAGAGGGATGCATTGGTAGAATTAAATTTTTGAGTGTAAAGGTCCGCTTGAAGCCTTGAAATAAACCTGGTACCTGGAAATAAACCTGTTCAGTTTGTTGTCGAGCCTGGACGGTGAGAGGTCCACATCTGGCATCCCCCACCTCTAAAACAGGTCCTGGAATACCTCCAGGAGTAGGTTCCACTCCCCTGGATCCAGGCGCTGCTGGCTGAGGAAGTTCACGTCCAAAACGTAAACGGTGGACAAGGCCAAAACATGAAGTTCTGCCCAAGAAATAATCCTTTCTACTTTTCTTGCAGGGACAAGACTTTGGATTCCTCCCTGGTGATGTACACAACTGTTGTGATACATGTGGCGGTAAAGATTGGAAATTGTGACTTTTCTCTGACTTTAATTTGCAGAATCTTGTTCTGGGTTCTTCCTTTTAGGTGTATTTTAAGCCCATCCCTTTCCCAGTAAAATGCCAGAAGATCTGTGAATCAAAGTGGCTCTGGTATTTGATGAAGCGAGGTTCAAATCCTGGGGTAAACAGGGTTTAATCTAAATTTGGAGGGTTCCTGATTTACAGCCTGATCCTAGGATCCCGAAGCCTTCCTAGGAACAAAGGAACTGATCTGAATACAAGCACAACAGGCAGCACCTACATTTTACAAGAAACATTAGTTTAAATGGACATGACTGGTTCACTTTAAGAGGTTGAAAAACCCACAAAAGGGAATAAAGAAGAGATAAATAAAAGCATGAGTGGGTACCTGGCTTCTCTTGTGGCACTTGATGGAAGCCATATTATCTGCAAGGGTAACTGGCATTTTTTTTAAAAAGAAGTCTACAAAAGGCACCCCAGTGAGACCATTCTTGAACACAATACAACCAGTTTGACTTCCTAATCTGACGGTACCAGGAAGTAGTATTTCATAGCAGTGCATAGGCTTGGAAAACGTGCGGTTACATTTAGTTTGCATGATGGTTTAACCAAGTAGACAGGAATACCATCCAAGAGAACAACTTATCAGCAAACCTTTTAGTCATCTTGTTCCATTATGTTTCCAAGTAATAAAATATGCAACTGTAATAATACTGCCCTCCAGTGGTGTAACCTTTACCTAGTGGGATGAAAATTCGGAACAAAGAAACTGCTACATTAGGTTCCATCCAGACTGCCAAATCAAATTATTATTTGGAATGACCTGCTGTTCTGTAAGATCAAGGGTTATTGCTGCATGGGATAGTGGCTGCAGTGCTGAAGCACCTCTGAACATCTGCCAGAGACACCACCAGGTCAGTGGTGAATTCCGAGCAGGGAAGAAGGAATCCTTCCTGGCTAAATATATGCACTGAAGCTTCTGCAATCAAACTCCCTAGGTTTTACCCCAGGTAAGGAATAGAAAAGCACTCTAGAGCAGAAAGAAAAGGTGGTGCTTTTAAACTGATTTCATGTCCCTTAATTCGGTGGGAGAGAGATAACCTCTCTCTGGTACAATCATGGACTGATTTGGTAATTTGAGTTGTGCTCCTATTTGTAAGACACACTCCACCTGATTGCTCCTGATGAAAACCTGAATCCTAAAGAAATTGCCTTATGTTTTAATGTTAAAGTGACAAAAGGGTGGGTTCAATGAGCAGTAAGAATTGCAGTCAAGATGTGAAAGTGTGAAGATATCCAAGCACATGCAGTTATTACAATTATTATTATTATACAGGATTTATATAACACCAACAGTTTACACAGCGCTTAAGGATAAGGGTGCACAATATGTTTTAAAGAATGGTCTCTCAAAATTTCATTCAGCATTACAGCTAAAAATTTAATGGAAAACTTGTCTACAACACACACAAATGTGTCCCAGTCACCAGTATTCAGATGGGATGGTGCAACGTATGAAATAATCTATAGAAGAGCCCACGTTTACAAAATCGTACAGCTAGAATGTTTTATAGACTTCCCTCATGGGAAGTTTTCTGTGTCTGCATTTACTTTGGTTCGTACGTTCATGATATACCAATACATATACACTACATGTTCTTTTATGTGTCACATTTCAATTACCTTCATCTGAAGGATGTCGCCCTCATGTGCTGGCCACCCTCGTAGAACCAGACCAGTCCTGGTGTCCAGCAGTATAATGAATCCAGATGAATAACCTGCAATAACACTGCGACCGTTGGGGCTGACTGCCAGGTAACGGATGAGGCCTGCATTCATGTTGCTGGCTAGCTTGAATTCATGCTAAGGAAGAGAGCAGAGGCAAATCTCTTTAAATGTATAAAATGCAAATATGAAGACATCTAATGACAGGCGCACCAGTAGTCTTGAAGACCACGATATGCTGTAAAGCAGAAGGACCCATTACTTTGCTCTTCATTATTTATAATAGAATATATACACACACACACACACACACTTGCCCCTTTATTAGGTGCACCTTGCTAGTACTGGGTTGGACCCCTTTTGTCTTCAGAACTGCTTTAATTCTGCGTGGCATTGATTCAACAAGGTTATGGAAACATTCCTTAGATAGTTTGGTCCATACTGACACAGCATCACACAGTTGCTGCAGATTTGTGGGCTGCACATCCATGATGCGAAGCTCCACCCGCCTGAACCGTTGATACAAGGCAGGATGGATCCATGCTTTCATGTTGTTTACATCAAATTCTGACCCGACCATCCGAATGTAGCAACAGAAACCGAGACTCATCACACCAGGCAACGTTTTCCCAATTTTCTATTTTACAATTTAGGTGAGCCCTTGCAAACTTGAGCCTCCGTTTTCTGTTCTTAACTGACAGAAGTGGCACCTGGTGTGGTCATCTGCTACTGTGGCCCATCTGCTTCAAGGTTCAATGTGTTGTATGTTCAGAGTTGCTCTTTTGCATACCTCAGATGGAACGAGTGGTTATTTGCGTTACTGTTGCTTTTCTATCAGCTTGAACCAGTCTGGCCATTCTCCTCTGACCTCTGGCATCAACAAGGTATTCTTGCCCAGAGAACTGCCGCTCACTGGATATTTTCTCTTTTTCAGGCCATTCTCCATAAACCCTAGAGATGGTTGTGTATGAAAATCCCAGTAGATCAGCAGTTGCTGAAATACTCAAACCACCCCATTTTTTTTCATGTCATTTTTCGTTCTATTTTTTTTCCGTTTTTTGTCGTTTTTTGTTTTAAATATCCCGTCGGTTCCGCCCCCCTGCGACGCGTACGCTCGCAAGGGACGGAACCCGGATGCCGGCATCGGCCGGATGACACAGCGCGGCTCGCGGGAGAAGGTAAGTAAATGCTATGCGGCATTCCCGAGTGTAGCTCGGGGTTACCGCTTATGGTATGGAAAAGTAACCCCAAGCTACACTCGGGAATACCGCCAGGGAGGTTAAATCACCTTTCTTCCCCATTCTGATTCTCAGTTTGAACTTCAGCAGGCCATCTTGACCATGTCTACATGCCTAAATGTATTGAGTTACTGCTATGTGATTGGCTGATTAGATATTTGTGTTAACGAGCAGTTGAAGAGGTCCCTAATAAAGCGGCCAGTGTGTATGTATGTATGTATGTATGTATGTATGTACGTACGTACGTACACACACACACACAGTATATTTTATTATATTATGAAGGTTTTAGGGTAGATTGTTAGTATTTCGGAATTATTATATTAAACCTTACCTACAATAGTGATTACACCCTACTTTGCTTACTTGGTACACTTTAAATCAAAGACATGAGGAAGTTTACGGGTAGAAGAGTTTATGATCATTCACAGTAGTGTGTTCTTTCACAAAGTTTAAAAATAACATAGTTGTGCCCAGTTATTCTACTGTGGTGGGGAGGGTTAAAAAGAAAAATGCTGTAAAGGGCCAAGACAGGCACACCCAAGTCCATTGGCTCAACTTCTAGAACTGCTATAGTGAGAGGAAGTCCACATGACAACAATGCCTTATACAGAACCTGTCATGTCCTGAAAACTGTGAAGACAAAATTGGTAAAACCCAGGCACTAAGAACTAAAAATATTAACTGGCACGTTTCTGATTGAATCCTGCTTTGCATATACAACAATGCACTGCACCATAATAATATCCATATTTGGATGATGTGGCATTTATGAGTCACTTCACAGGAAGTGTTTAATTTTGGTGAACCAATTTATCTGCAGATATGGAATGTGTCCTCAGTAAACCAGCTTTAATGTTCCTGTAGAATATTTTTGCAAATCTGTTTGGTTTCTTTCCTCATAACCACAAACCACTTTTCATAGGATTAAACAAGGCAAGGCAAATCGGATAAGCTAGGGGAGATCGCCAAAATAACTCTGGATGCTGACATTTTATAAGAATGATATTTTAAAGCCAGTGGAAGCATAGCTTTCATTTACCTGAAAGAACGTATCCCAAAATGGATTTTATATTATTTTAATGGAGTGAGGTAGGGTTTTATCCCGTGCCAAGTCTGGCTCTATGGGACCAAAAGAGCAGATACCTTCCCCACTGATAAAGCAATGACTGAGCACCTGCTTTAACCTGCAGAAGTGAATTCCTTTTTATATCACCAAGATAACCTGCAAGAGGGGGAGTGATAAATATCTGCATCTTCTAGCATATTATTCCATAGGGACATAGGAAACATTTAATTTAAATGAAATCACGACCAAAAGCCAAGCTTAGCTTGTGACATAATGAAATTGGGGTTAACTCTCCCCATGGAGGTGACAGAGATGTGATGGCTCTAGTGTATAAATCATTTCCCCAAAAGAGAAACATTTAATCATTGCTGGAGGTCTTCTCTGATAACCTCTGCTTCCCTGATCTGACATTTTGAAGGTGCCACGTTGAGCCCTTACCCTCCCTTTGTGTCCAGTGATTTTTTTTTACAGACCATGACAAGAAACTGGAATTAGATGCAGATGCTTTTACTACCCAAATTTATAACTGTATCTGTGAAAATGCAGACATACCGGCTGCCTTTCAATTAAAAGGCAGATTCAATTGCCTGCTGGGCCAAACAGGTTAGCTCTCAAATTAACATTGTTCCGTAGACTGCCAGCATTATAGGAGATATGAGAAGTGACTTTATACTTCTTCATCTCTGCCTTTAGCAAAGAAAAGCCTCTCTCACACAGATTACAATAAACACAGCACTTCCTATTAGTTTGCTTGGTGGTGGAGAATAAAAGATGAAAATATATAAAGGGGCAGTGTGCCAACTGAGCAGAGGTAAGGGGGGAAAACAAACGACTTGTCCAAGGACTAAAGCAGGGGCACAATCTACTTTTCGTGATACTAAAAAATTATTTTAACCAAAACCGCATTTAACCGTGCTAAGGAGCGCTTCTCATTGGTCAGCGCTGGCAGGCGATCATGGTGACCAACAAATACTTGCAATTTGCGAGCGAAATTCAAAATCTATAGCACAGGGCTTCACTGGATGGCAGTATGAGGTGCAGATAGTAAACCCTTATCAGCGGAGGGGAAGGACCATTCGCCGAAAGGCAAGGATAGTGGGGGGGGGGGGGGGGATATGAGCGGCTAGTTCCATATTTCCCATATTACTTGGGAAAGTGAACTTACGCTGCATATGCATAGTGTGTGTGTTAGGGAGTGCTGCTGTCCCGTTACCACAATATGACACAGTGTAATGGGTGCAGCACACACACACGTGTGCATTTATTTGTATACACATGGAGGGAAAAATCTGAGGGTTTAATGTCACTAACTTTATTGCCATCACACAGGGGTTAATAAGCCCCTTTGTGATAGCATTCAGAGGTGACAGGTTCTCTTTATGGAACCTTCCCTCCAAAACAGGCGATCTAGCACAGCAATGTGCCCGAACTCCTGTGATAGCTGAGACAGGAAGGCTGAGAGTACAGCGGTCCTGGGTCGCCCAAAAGAGCAGGGTACCCCAAAAACCACAGCAGGGAGGGAGGCGGTTGGCGGGTGGGGTGGACAGACTATGGAGGAGGGGGCACCAGCAGGCTACATACAAGCGATCTGGGTGGCAGTACAGCCGCTCAGATTATTTGTACAAAATGGCTCCCCTGCTCTACATTTAGCCCTACTGCTTGCCCGCAGCAGAGCTAAATGTAGGGGGGGGGGGAAACACCTGCCCGGAACTGCATGTCCTAAGCGTCAGGCAATACGAATTCCACACCCCTGTTGAGCAATCTTTAGAAGCACACAGTAGCGAAGTACTAACCAGGGAAATTTAGCTAGTATGCAATATAGCAGCACTTTGATTACGAGAACTGGCAAGCCAGTAAACATATAGAAAGTATAGAAATAATTGGCAGAGAATAAAAAAATAATTAACATAATGGTATAGATGAAGAACCTGTAGTCCTGGTTTCCGAGGATCAATAAAACGAAGCATTGAGTCAGAGCTTGCAAATGTGACACTGCAATAAGGTGGAGGCATTGTCGCCACAGCTGTTATGGGCACCTTCGTATCTCCAGCCTCATAGGTACGAATGGTTTTACCTATAACAAGACAAAACACATTGAAAAGGAAGATATTGTGAAAATAAATGTATTATAATAACATACCTTTAACCCAGTATATACACATACTTACTACACCATACCTGGTAATACACATAATAAAAGTAATTATCAATATATTTATCACATACAATGGTTCTAAAATGTGTGACAGCAGACAGTGTCTTCTTTGCTACCATACCCAATTATTCCCTTCTGCATCAAACAAAATCTCCCTTTATGTTTGCTGTAGATGAGTAGCAAAAAATCAGCACCGCTGTTTGTCTCATTGGCTTAGTCCAGGCTTCTCACTTTAAAAACAGCAGTAAAGCAGTTTGAAAACAAATGCACCAACACTGACCTCATGATCAGTGTATTGCGGGTGCAATGCAGAAGTTCTTGAAAATATATTCCCCCAGCCTCAGGTCTTTACGAGAGAGAGAGACGACAGCAGCAGTGTCCCATGCTGGCTCCAAGTATTGGAAAGAGCATATTTACTTCTCGCAATACTTCTCCTTTAACCCTTTCGCTGCCAAGCCCTCCGGAACATTTTTCAAATCAACGTCCTTGGCAGCGAAAGGGTTAAAGAAGAACTCAGGGCAGTTAAAAACCTAACCCTTGCAGTGGGGCTACTCCTGCACTGCAAGGTTTAGGTGCTCGTTGAGGTCTAGGGTGTAAAATAAAAATAAATAAATGAGGATTTACTCACTCTAAGCCCTGCCTACATCAACACATGATGACATCAAGAAAAAAAAAAAAAAAAAAAGAGAAGAGAGTTGTCT